ACACTAAAGAGGAAGAAGAAGAAGAAGAATACCCCGCTTTTCCGTTACCTTGCTGCTATAGGGTACTGTCCGAGGACAGTTTCCAGAAGCCCGATATTTTCCTAGATCCATTACTAAATGTAGCTCTGGACAGAAGGCCAGCCTGACTCAGAGTTCTTCGCGCTTAATTTCTTAAGCTCCCCATACATACTGACTAGCCACATACTAGTCACAAAGACCATTTACTGTATGTCAAAAACGTAGTCAATTTGTTATCGGATGGGTGGTCCGAGACAAAACAGCCGTTAGTGACTTGTCTAAGGTCATTCTATGACTGATGGCTCCGCCGTTCGAACGCAATATCTTGTGGATATTGTGTCAAACAACTTAACCATTCAGCCATAGCGGCTTACACTAGAGATATCCAGCGTCTTTTTTGATCCAGTAACAGGCGAGCACTAGAGATATCCAGTGTCGCATTTGATTGATTAACAGGAGAACACTAGAGATATCCAGTGTCTTTTTTGATCCAGTAACAGGCGAGCACTAGAGATATCCAGTGTCGCATTTGATTGATTAACAGGAGAGCACTAGAGATATCCAGTGTCTTTTTTGATCCAGTAACAGGCGAGCACTAGAGATATCCAGTGTCGCATTTGATTGATTAACAGGAGAACACTAGAGATATCCAGTGTCTTTTTTGATCCAGTAACAGGCGAGCACTAGAGATATCCAGTGTCGCATTTGATTGATTAACAGGAGAACACTAGAGATATCCAGTGTCTTTTTTGATGCAGTAACAGGCGAGCACTAGAGATATCCAGTGTCGCATTTAATTGATTAACAGGAGAACGCTAGAGTTATTGGGTGTCGTATTTGATTAAGTAACAGGAGAACACGCTGAAAGAAAAAAAGGTACCGTAGCGAAGTTAACCGTAGTACGCCTAACAGGTGTCATTTCTGACCCAGAGATAAAAATTTTGAAATACACTAGAATATGTTGCTAATTTCGAGTTTAAGGAATCATTCATCATCCATTACGAATAGGTAGCTGTTGCGTAGTCTAACATGAAACTAAGTTCTCCTATTCCATCTGATTACGAGCCTTCGATACAATAAAATACAATTTCGTCAGTATGTAACATAAAACTAGACAAGAGGACAAGTTAAATTTTCCATTAAAATTTAAGGGGTATTACTAATTTATGCTAACACCAGAAACACCCAACTTTGTAAAAACGCATATGGGTCATCTTCACTTACACCCACAACTTGGAGAGTTATGTGCACGAACACCCACTAACATCCACTTTGTCCGACTCCTAGAAAAAGTAAACCGTGAAGAAAGACCAAAAAATGACCCCCTTCAACACTAACACCCGAAATCTCACTTATTGTCCATACAAGCAGCCCAAGTTGTATTCACTAACACCCACAGAACTCAATAATCTTTATTCTGACCCGAATAAGTGCTATCCCCGAATAACTTTTTCTGATAAACTTTTCTCTGGAAACATCTCTTCAACGTTTGCCGTATCGACAAAACTCGGTTTTCGTCAGAAAAATAAAAATTGGGATAAAAGTATAGAAAGATAGCCAATGTTCTGTTCTTCCAGAAACGGTATGATTTTTAAATCGATACCCCTTTTTTTGTCCAAATTTTTTGATGATTTCTGTTATTTGCGTCTTGAAAAACAGCATTTTTTTCTAGAGGGGAGGGGATTTAAGGTATGTTTCCAGAGAAAAGTTTATCAGAAAAAGTTATTCGGGGATAGGACTTATACGGGTCAGAATGTAGATCATTGAGTTCTGTGGGTGTTAGTGAATACAACTTGGGGTGCTTGTGTGGACTATAAGTGAGATTTTGGGTGTTAGTGGGTGAATATAAGAACTTTTGGACTGGTATGATGTGTTTCCAGAGAAAAGTTTATCAGAAAAAGTTATTCGGGATAGCACTTATTCGGGTCAGAATATAGATTATTGAGTTCTGTGGATGTTAGTGAATACAACTTGGGGTGCTTGTATGGACAATAAGTGAGATTTTGGGTGTTAGTGTTGAAGGGGTCATTTTTTGGTCTTTGTTGACGGTTTATTTTTTCTATGAGTCGGACAAAGTGGGTGTTTGTGCGCATAACTCTCCAAGTTGTGGGTGTTAGTGAAGATGACCCATATGCGTTTTTACAAAGTTGGGTGTTTGTGGTGTTAGTATAAATTAGTAATACCCAAATTTAAGAGTCATGCACCATTTTAACTGCATATTTATCTCCATCTTACTTAAAAGTATATATTGATTGGGGTTTGGATTATCCAGTTAGGATGATGTATGATTCATACGATTAACGTTTGGATCGAAGATATTCATCTATCATCTAGTACCTTTTCATTTTGTTTTATTTTGTAGATTAAGATTTCTTTTTATATTATAAAAAACGATCATAAACAATTGGATTGAAGAGGATAGCGAAGTTGACGATTTCACTGACCAACAAAGTGGTTCAGAAACAGAAAATGATGAAAGTCAAACATCAGACGCTGATGATGAAATTGATTTAGAAGATCTTAAATTAACCGAAGGTTCTACACGAAAAAGCTCATATACTTCCAAGTCCGGGATGATCTGGTCTTCAATTCCGTCTGCTTCAACAAAAATAAATTCTTTCAGTGATAATATCGAGAAATCTGGACCGACTAAGCTTACTGAAAATGTTGCATCTATTGAAGACGCATTCATTTGTCTTATGTCGGAAAAAATCATGCAGAAAATTTTAATTTATTCAAATATGGAATATGATCGAAGCGTGGGATTAGATGAAAAAGAAGAAATAACAATGATGGAATTAAAAGGTTCAATTGGAATATTATTGCTTGCTGATTTATTAGGAAGATCAAAGGAAAATTTGCGATCCTTATGGAGAACAAGTCCCTTGGAATCTCCAATATTTAAAGCTACTATTTCAAGAGATCGTTTTGACAAAATTATTTCATGTCTAAGATTTGATGATAAAAGAACAAGAGAAGAGAGAAAACAAGCAGATAAATTTACGGCAATTCGTGAAATTTGGTCAGATTTTCAAGATAAATTAAAAACATGTTATACACCAGGACTTGATCTTACAATCGGCGAACAATTATTAGGTTTTCGGGGGAAATGTCCATTTCGTCAATTTATTCCTAAGAAGTCTGACAAATACGGATTAAAGTTCTGGCTATGTGTTGATGCAGAGTGGTATTGTGTATTGAATGCTTTTCTTTACATTGGACGACAACCAGGTCAAGAAAAACAAAAACACATAGGTGAAAGTGTAGTTTTAGAATTGCTCAAGCCATTCTATGGTTCAAACAGAAACGTTACAATGGATAATTTCTTTACAAGTGTTCCATTGGCGAAAAATCTTCAAACGAAGAATCTTACTCTTATAAGAACATTACGAAAAAATAAACCAGAAATACCTATAGAATTTCTATCA